AAAATTCTCAACAAAATACTTGCAAACCACATACAGACACGTTTCAAAAAGATCATCCACCATGATCAAGTTGGCTGTATTCCAGAGATGCAGGAGTAGATCAATACACATAAGCCAATAAATGCCGTAAATCGTATAAATGGGCTTAAAGACAAGAACCACATGGTCATTGCAATGATGATGCAGAGGAGGCCCTTGACAAAATTCAACATTCATTTATGTTCAGGACCCCCCCTGCCTCTGCCTCTGGAGTGCTGGGACTAAAGCTGTGTGTCACCATGCCTGCCTCCATCATTCTTAATGGAGAAAAACTGGAAGCATTCCCATTAAAATCAGGAAACAGATAAGGCTGTCCACTATCTCAACTTCTCTTTAGCATAGTGCTTGAAACTCTTGCAAGAGCAATAAGAGAAAAGCAGGAAATTAAAGGAGTAATAATTGGAAAGGAAGAGATCAAATTATCCCTTTTTGCAGATGATGTGATATTATATCTAAGAGACACCAAAAATTCCACCAGAAAAATCCTAGAAATTATTAACACTTTGAGTAAAGTGGCAGATTACAAAATTAACCTACAAAAGTCTGTATCCTTTTTATATACCAAGAACAAGCAATCAGAGAAAGAGCACATGGAAACACTCCCCTTCGCAATAGCTGCAAAATACATAAAATAAAATATCTCGGAATAAACCTGACCAAAGACATTAAAGACGTACACAATGAAAAATTTAAATATTTAAAGAAAGAGATTTAGGAAGACATCAGAAGATGGAAGATCCACCCGTGCTCATGGAGTGGAAGAATTAATGTTGTGAAAATGACTGTCCTAGTTTGTTCTCAATTGCTGTGACAAAATACTCTGAACAACACCAATTTGGGGAGGAAAGGGTTGATTCAGCTTATATCTCCCAGGTCAAAGTTCATCAAGGAGCCCAACTAGGAACTCAGGGCAGAAACCTGGAAGCAGGAGTTGGAGCACAGGCCATGGAGAAATGCCGCTTACTGGCTTGCTCCCCCGGCCCCTGCTCAGCTTGCTCTCTTATCCCACACAGGCCCACCTGCCCAGGGGTGGCACTACCCACAGTGGGCTTGGCCCACCCACATCACTCAACAATTAAGAAAATACCCCACAGACATGGCCACAGGCCAGTCCAATGGAGGCAATTCCCTAACTGAGGCTCCCTCAACCCAGGTGTGACAAGATGACACTAAAGCTATCGAGCACGATGACCATCCTACCAAAAGTTATTTATAGATTCAATGCAATGCCAATCAAAATCCCCATGAAATTTTTCACAGAATTGGAAAAAAAAATCCTAAGGTGCGTATGGAAGCACAAAAGACCTCAGATAGCCAAAGCAACCCTAAGCACTAAGAGCAATGCCGGGGAGATTACTATACCAGATTTTAAGCTGTATTACAGAGCTATAGTCATAAAAACAACATGGTACTGGCAAAAAAATAGAACCGTAGATCAATGGACCTAAACTGAAGACCCAAATATGAGTAAATGCAATTTCAGCCACCTGATATTTGACAAAGCTGTCAAGAGTATTCACTGGAGGAAAGACAGCATGTTCAGCAAATGGTGCTGGCAAAACTGGATCTCCATCTGTAGAAGAATGACACTAAACCCCATATCTTTCACCTTGCACAAAAGTCAATTCCAAATGTGTCAAAGACCTCAGAGTAAAGCCTCAAACTATGAGACTGTTAGAAAAAAACATTGGCAAAAACTTACAAGATATAGGTGTAGGAAAGGATTTTCTAAACCAGACATCAATTGCTCAGGAAACAAAGTCAAGAGCTAAAAAATGGGACCTCATTAAACTAAAAAGCTTCTGTCCATCAAAGGAGGCAACCAGTGAAGTGAAGAGGAAACCCACAGAATGGGAGAAAATCTTCATCAGTGACACATCTGATAGAGTTTTAATATCCAGAATATATAATGAATTCAAAAACAAAAAATCAAGACAAGAAGTAACACAATTAAAAGATGGACTAAGGAGGTGAACAGAGAGTTCTCAAAAGAAGAAGTAAAGATGGCTATGAAGCATCTTAAAAGATGTTTAACATCACCAATAATTAGGGAAATACAAATTAAAACCATTTTAAGATTTCATCTTACCACAGTCAGACTGGCTAAGATCAAGAGAATAAATAATACCAAATGTTGGAGAGGATGTGTGGAAAGGGGAACACTCATCCACGGCTGGTGTGGCTGAAAACTTGTTCAACCCCTAGGAAAGCAGTGTGGAGAATTCTTAAAAAACTACAAATGAACCTACCATTTGACCCAGTTATACCACTCCGTGGCATATACCCAAAGAACAGGAAATGGAAGGAACTCCCATGCTCATGGATTGGAAAAATTAATATTGTGAAAATGACCATCCTACCAAAAGCAATATATATATTCAATGCAATCCCAATCAAAATCCCCATGACATTGGATGGAACTAGAAACTGTTATCCTAAGTGAAGTAACACAGACTCAGAAAAAAAAAATTGATGTATGTTCTCCCTCATATGTGGATCCTAGAACCAAACCCTGATGAGAGAGTATGTATCCGGACATAAGTACAGGACCAGGAAAATGGAAAGGAACCAGGGAGGTAAAGGAAAAGAAAGAACATGAAAGAGAATAGTAGGAAACACGCCTTAATCAGGGAGATAGGGATAAAAATTGGATTAGTTTCAGGGAGCAGGGAGGGAAGGGTACACAAGGAACCTAGGGGATAAAGGGAAAGAAGGAGCTCAAGAGAGATGGAACCATAGGAGAAGAGTATTATTAAGGGAGAAAGAGGGGAAATGGGGGGCACCTTAATTGGGGAAACCATGATGGAGGGGTTAGACAATGCGAGAGATAAATAATGTCTAGGTAGTTTTAAAAACCAGAGGGAACCATATTAGTCCAACAACCTATGGACAAATTATATATAGCAGATCAAGAAATATATGTCTAGGTAAGGTTTATCTGAGAACAACTGGTCTTTGTCCAAGATTTATCTACATGACATACAGTAATTAAAAATACCAGACTGGTAGAACTAACCTTCTTGGATGTTTAACAGACATACTTTGAGGC